CCCGGCGCCGGGCCCGCCCGCCCCTGTGGGCACGGCCATATTCCTGTGACACTAACTACGCTACGGCTCGTTGCCATATGGATATGTTCGCCATCTGTCACCCCTGTGCTCACTCAGAAGTGTGAGTGTGTCGGGATTCAGACACTTCACCACTAATGAGTGAAACAAGACAACACCGGGCTGCAGAACTGCTCTCTGCTACTGGCAGTGCTTCACACTTCTCCAAGGCTACGCCAGCCACCTCCTTAGCCCCGAAATAACTTGCCAAGATCTTATTTTTTTAAATGTGATTTTATATAAGCCCATACAGTATTCTTTGCATCCCTATGGAGACCATTCCTCTTGTTTCTGGTAGACTCATAATCATGCAGATGTCTGCATCACCAGGACCAGGGACCTAATTCAGATCCTGGTGTTTACACTGGCCTGAGGGAAAGTTTTCCATACGTATACATATATATGTACGTATATGGGGGTGTGTGTGTATGTGTGTATATATATATACACATATATATAAATATATATATACATACACACACAAAGATCTATGGGCACAGAGGGTCGAGTGTTCAGGGCTTGCTGCACACACACCATCTGCCATCCAAGCCCAACAGAGGGCAGAGGCGTCCCGCGTTGCCTCGCACATCACACCATGCTTCAAGCACTCACAGAAAGGAATCACGATAGAGACATTTCAGTGCACCGGTTTTCTTCTGCCAAGCACAAGTCAGAAGTTTTTCCTGGACTAACAGCTATCCCCCCGAGGCTCTGCTCAGAATTCTGATTTGGTCCGTGGCAGAGATCAATCCGGAGCTTGTGACTGAGTTACAGCCTTCACTTGCTACAAACGGACTTGAAAGCAAAAAAAGTTTGTGACTTTCTTTTTTCCCCTCTATGTTCCTGCACAAGAGGACCTCCATGTGTAGCGGGTCCCAAAGAGCAGGTGAGAGCGGCAGGGAACACATGGCGTGCATTTGAGGAAAGCTGGTTTATCCAGAAATCTGAGGAGGAGGTCTTGCAGGCTGTCATCATTAGAGTCAGGAGGCAGCTCTTTGACAGACAGTGAGAAGTGACAGCTTGTAAATGGCAAGCCTTGAAAATGTGGCTCGTCTGCGATGCAGAGAGTGCAACAGCAAGGGCTGAGGCATCTGAGTGATGTTCTGGCCAAACGCAAGTGACACAAGTTTGCATAAATCGGGACTAGACCCCTTCTCCCTGTAACACTGCACGGCTGAAGGTGTCAAAGTCTGACAGACGAAGGAGATGAAGTGCTGGGTTTGTAGTTAAGGGCTCAGTAACGGGCTGAGGACAGCTGGTGCTGTGGAGCCTGGTAAACAGAAGGTGGCCATGCCACGACCTGGGGTTGGGACTCCAAAGACTAAAACGTCCTGGTGAGGCAGAAGGTGGAAATAGGAGGGGATGCAGCTGCAGAGCCAAGCATTGCCGGCCCACGCAGATCCTCTGGGTACTGTACAAGAGCAGAGGATTAAATATTGATACTTGCCTGCCACTGCTGGCAGACTGGACAGCCCTAGCCTTGGGAGAAAGGGCCAAGAAAAGATTGAAGGTAGAAAAGAACAAAGTAGCACAAGGGTCTGGTCTTGGCATAGAAGAGGTAATGTCTGGAACTGTAACTGGAAGAGATGTCATGGAAGACAAAGGAAGGATGAGCGATGTAATTAAGTAGCAGAGGACGAACACAGAAGAGTACTAACGCCACAGAGGAGCAAGCGAGCGAGTAGCATCCAACGGAGACCAAGTCCGGTGAACGGCACCTCTAGGGAGCAGAGGCACAGACCCACGGCAGCAGGTGAGAGAGGCAAGAATAAGGAAACAGGCAGCAGTGGGACTGAAGGGGTCACCAGTACAGATTCAGCAAAGGGGTCCTGCCAGAAGCCAAAAAGACGGAGTAGCTGAGAGCTCGGTAAATTCAGAGACTTCATTACAGAGGCCCAAGTAGAGAGGAGAGAGTGTGGGAGTGATTTTGGATCATGTGACAAGGGACTGGTTTATCCTTTGTGCGTGAAGCTGAACAGTAAGTAGCCAAATTGTTGAAGGAGTTGAGGGACTATTAGAAGAAAAGGGAATATTGAGGACAAAGAGCAAAATAAGAGGATTTTTTTTTTAGAATCCTCTTAGACTTCTCTTTTTAAGATTTACAAGGTTTCTGGGCAAGGATAGTGGGAGACAGTCCTACACTTGGAGGATGGAGAAAGCTCAGGTCACATGAAGGGTAATTTCTGCCACCAGCAGCTTGGTGTAGCCAGTTACACCAGACTGCACGTTCCTCCGCAAAGGCAGTCAAACTGCCTGACTGCCGTGAAGCAACCGCAGACTGGAGTCGTGCTACAACCACATTCATTTTTTGGTCACATTTACAGTCCTGTCTTGTTCCCTTCACTAGTTAAGTGACAAAATTAGACCAGGTGCCTAACCGGTTAGTTCTGCTCCTAGTTTCCACAGGGAACAAGACACTTACATTTTTCAGAAACAATTACAAACTAATAGTGCTTTATTTTGGGGTGCCCCAACTAACACACTTTCAAAGGGGGTAATCTGTTAAAAATGTCTTGAACAGCAGTAACTTTAAGACACCTTGACTGGTGCGGGGCCCAGCCGATTCTAGGGCTTGCGGCGGTGAAGGAGGATGCATCACCAGATGCCACGGTGCCTGCCCATGGCAGTTACAGCGTAAGGTGACAACAGGTAGTAGGTTCTGGGGACACTCGTACGGTGCTTGGCAGACTTGCTCAAACAAGCAAAACCTTGTCAAGTGCCTCTGAGTGTCTCAGCTCCTGCTGCTGAGCGTTCCCGGGAACACTGACGACACGCTGCTGTTTGTTCCACATGTTTCACGTGGGAGGCTCTGTCTCCCGAGATGTCAAAACTCATTTTTTCCCTCCTTTGTTAAAGAGACACAAATTGCTCCCCTGTCGATTCCCCGCGGGGTTCTGAGGCAGCTCGTCGGTTCCCCCGAGCTGAGGACCCGCAGGGGTGGCGCAGCACACCGGAGCAGCCCAAGGCCGTGCTGCGGAGCGCCGCTCCCAGCCACGCAGCACCCGCCGGCCCTGAGGGCTCCCGCTGGATGTAGGGAATGCCACGCTGCCTGCGGCCGGCTCAGCTGTTGTGTTAACCAGTAACTGCTGCTCTAGCACAGGGCATCTGAGGCTGGTAATTAACCACAAAGCTTCTACCTTGGTCAGCAGAACGTCAAGGCGTTGGACTCTCGCATGAACCTTAGCGGCACTCCCGGCACCGAAGGCTGAGCAGGCTCCTCTGCTGCGCCACATTCCTGCAACGTCGGCCAGGCTCGGGTAGGGTTCACAAAACTAAAGACACCGCCAGTCCTTGTTGCAGACAGGTTTTAGCAATTCCTGGTTCTCCAGTTTTGTGAATGTGACAGAGAACTAGGGACAGGGCAGGGTGACTTTTATACACCTTTTTCCTCTATCGCTGTAAAAAGTGGTGAATAAGTTTTATTCTAAAATCCTGTTTAATCCGTGGTTTGGGTTCCTTCAGCAGTAATCCGAAAGTGTGGTCTGATCTAATGGAATCAATGACTGGGGTAGAGGGGATGGGTCAAATTTTGTTCTCAGTTACAGTGCTCTAAATAGACATGAAAGGCGTTACACAGCAGTAAAAGTGAGCTGCATCTGCTCACGGTGGTGAAGCTAATGCATTTCTGCATGCCTCTCGAATTACTGCCTGGTTAGTTAAAAGGAGAAGTCTTCAAATATTGATCAGAGAGACATTTGGGATGAAGCAACATTTTAAAAATTAATGCTGATATCCCATTTCCTAATGATCTCCACCTGTAACTTTACCCAGTCCTGGCTGGTAAGGAGTGTAAGGCAGTTCAGGGGAATGTACATCCTAAACTATTAGAATTTTAGTCATTTTCAAAATCACTTTGTGAGCTTTCGCAGTCTTCAGGTACAGCACGCGAAAGTCACCTGCTTGTGTTCCTGATCCTTTTAAGGTCTGAAACGCTATGGAGAAAGGCTGTGAGTTTGGTTAGCTGAAGGTGTTAAAAAGAAATCAAGAAAATATTCTAATTTGAAACAGCTCCCTGACCTAGAGGCTTAATACGACTGCAAAATGAGTCTAGTGCTTTTCCTCTCACCCGCGTTGCTCGCCCCAGCTCCTTTATTGGAAATCTGAACAGATCAGTCACGGACCAAAACCACAACTTCCTCTTTCACAACGGGCCTGACCGACCCTTTTGGTCCTTGTTCCCAGTGACTTAGGAACTGTATGGTGCTGTTAGAAAGAGGAAAACCATTTCTCAAGGCACAAAGGCTTCGGAGACGAACCCCCCGCAACAAAGGTGCTCAGTCCTTTCACACTTGAAGAGGAAATCCACTAACCACCACTCAGAAGTCCCTGAGTGCACACTGTATATCTGTACCCCCAGCCAAGCCTCCCCTCTGATTTGTCACCGGCCAGTCCCCCAGAGATCAGATGACATCTAAATGTGGTTCTGCTTCTGGAAAAGCTCTTTTCCCGTTCTTTAAGCAAAAGTTGCCACACACAGTCATACTTGGTGGACTCAGGGTGGGGACCGTCTCTGTCTAAGCTAACAGTAGGAGAAACGAAGAACTGTGCCAGAGCTTAGATCCCTCACATCTGAGCCTGCTACTTTAACCATGGTGCCATCCTTCTGCTCCAGCTCTGAAAAGTCCTTTTGCAAAGAAAGCAGTGAATGCAGAGAGGACAATGGAGAGGGACTCGTTATGATTTCTGTTGCTGCCATGTTTTTTACATGCCGCCTTTTTTTCCAAGGCTGCTGTTTTCCACCCACATACAGGCAGGCCCACAGCTCACCCAACGACTGAGGTCTCCTGCCTCCAGTAGAAAAGTCAGTGCTGAGACACTGTCCTGCACAGCAACACGGCTGGCTCCGATGTGGGGGGTTTGAGAGCTCTCTCATAGGAGCCAGAATGGAAACCGCGAGCCTGGGCTGGGACTTCCCTTTCAGAAAGTCCCTGTATTGCCCTAATCCTCCTGTCGGTGATTAAGCTCAACTGATGAGGGATGTGAGGGATAATGATTATTACTGAACAGAAGATAATACTTGGCATTTGCATAGCAGTATTCAACTGCAAAGTGCTTTATGTAATTAGCCATGCTGGGATTGCCTTCGCTGCACCCCAGCAAGAGTCTAAATAGTTTTAGAAAAGACACGTGAAAACCAGCGATGCAGGGCGGTATCAATGGGTCTGTGGGAGCTCTTCGCCTTTCCCCACAGCACCCAGCACGGGGAGCGTTGAGACTGTCACACTGTGGTACTGTCAGGACAGCACATAGTAATTCCAGAGTTGCTGTGTTAGAAAAGAGAGTGACTGCACGTGGCTCATGAGATGGCACTTTGCTGTTTGGGGCTCCTAAGACCTACCTAACATGAGTTTCACCTGAAACTTATAAGACACTCTCTAAACTGTAATAGGTTTCAAGGCCAAAGGAACCATTCGGACAACCAAGCACCATCCGTAGCACTACACAGATCAGGGTCTATTGAGTCCTGCCCCAAACCCAAGCTTGTCACTGAACAACACCATTTCCTTTAGACAAAAACCTGGTTTTGACTTCCGAGAGAAAGACTCCACCATCCTGCTGTACAATGACGTCCTACCATCAGCTATCTGTATCTTGAGTTTTTAAGCTCCTGGATCCACTCAAGAGCCCTTTTCTTTCAAAACCTTTCCCCTTCCCGCTCTCTTTTTAAGGGCTGCAATCACATCACTACTTCATCTTTTCCTGTTTCTATAAAGCTTTTAAAGTTTCTCACCATAATGTAAATTTCCGCAATTCTCATTATTCTTTGACATCTTTTCTGGATCCAATCCAACTTGTGAATGTCTTGAAAAAAATGTGACTAGGTGAACTAGACCCGATATATATTGTTACACCTGTTTTACAGAAAGGGAAGGAGAAGCATGGGGTTTATATCCCATACGCCCTCCAAATAATGCTTTTCCCCTCACCTTTGCTATACGCTTTTAACAGTCCTTGGAGTGTCACCAAAACCAGATTAATTTTTACTGCAAACATCTTAATATTAATAATTTTTACTACATTTTCACAAAGCAGAGTTAAGCTAGTGTAAATGAGTAAAACTTCTAATGCTGTTTGATATAAGCAACAACGTTAAAAATTTTATCTGTTTCCCATAGCTTGCTCTTGGGCTAGCACCATAAAATGTATTTCTCTTTTCGGAAATTGGTGCCTTCTCATATTTGATCACAGCCCTGGGAGAGAAAAATATTAACGCTCTTGCAAGATGCTGAGGCCTTTTAGAGGTAACCGAAAGAGCCTTCCACACGCGGTTGTCAGGACGCAGGACTGGAAAGCTTGTTTGCTTCTTAGCTGGACCTGAGCTGTTTATGTCTTTCACCCACAGGACCATTGCCATCCACCTACTGCACTCCATATAGACAGCTCCCGCCGCCCCAGAGATGCACGAGGAGTTTGGCCAACCAGTTCTTTTGTCCTGTAAGTGACCCCAAATTTTCTCAGACCTTTTCTCAGCAGCCTGCCGCTCCTGTTATCCTGTATTGTACTGCAGAGTAGATGTGAATCTCGACACTACCAGACTGAAAGGTGTTCAGGATTTCAGCCCCAGCAGCAACAGAGGAAGCAAAGGGTAAACAAGCAGGTTTATCGTATCAAAAAGCAGTGGGTAGCCCAGCCCTCGTCTTAAACAGCTCATATAACCTCGGAAGCAGTGGGGAAGGTTATCATCTGTGGCTGATTTAAGACATCAGAGGCAAGACTAAAGCCCTGCCTGTCTGTACCACGCTAGCACCTCTCGAGGAGAACTTGAGAAAGCTCTGCAAGATTTTTTGAGTGAAGCCAAGGCAGTACAAGTGCTTCTTCCTAAAGCAGCAGCAAAGTTGGAGCACTTCCCCTCATTCAAGAAGCAGAGAAAATCAAATCAGAAAGATCACCCCAAGAGAACGGACTGAACTGAGTATGAAAAGAGAAGGACAGAGCTAATAAACCTGAACTGTCAGCGATGGTGTCTCCTCAGCAAGCCAGACAAGGACAGAAGGAGGAAGCCAGCTACAGTGTTCACCAGTCCTTACAAGACAAACACTGGCAGAGTGCTGTCACAGAATGAGCAGGATGCAACAGCAGTGGCAACATCGCAAAAAGCGTTCCCAGCCCATCTGTGATGGGAGGATGACTGAATTCTGCTGGGAAAAACACTTTGGCTGAGGAGGAGGTTGTGAACGCCATGGCCAGTTTAGCAATGAAAGGAGACAGGCCAGAAATGAAAAAAGGTCAAAGTGTTTTTTTGTTATTATGCTATTGCTCCTCATTCCAACAGAAGCTGTTCCTTTGACCTTAAAGGGAAGGTACTGTTGTTTCCTGTCTGACCATCTCCTCCACTCTTCACGCAGCACACAACTGTATGATATTTAGGCATCTACGTAATACAAATTTTTAAAAGACAAACTATCCTGGTCAAAGGAGAAATAAATAAAAATTACCATTTGTTACAAAAAGCAAAGACTTTTGTTGCTAATGTGCTGACTGCGTGGGAGGAAGAGACTGGCTTGGGATCTGGAGGTTTAATGAGGTTCACACCCAGACCATGGTGTTACAGAACACGAAGGGTAAAGACGAAGGAAAAAAAAAAATCTCAGACTTACATCTGTTTGAATGATGCTCCATGCATTGGTTAGGCCAATATTTCCATCTGTCCCGTACAAATGAAGCCCTTTCTTCAGGTCCCGCTGAGCATACTTGTCAATCTAAAACGAACAACAGAAGACACAAACGTCAAAATGTGCCGAGTTCCACGTTTCAGAATCAAAGTGCACGGAGCAGGGAGATGCTGGACAACAGCCCCGTGCTGAAATGAATAAGAAGTTAATCGACATCTCCTAAAGCCTTTCTCCAGCAGAGCTGGTATCTGTTACAGGTACCCGCATTTTGTCAGTACATGAGGAGTTCTGAGTTAATGTTCATGTTTTCCATCACAGACCTCCAGAACACCTTTGCCCTTAACCACCAAAGTACTATAGAGAGACTGGTTTCAGTTTAATCACCCATTCTTTGCAAATGAGGCTTATAGATGAAAACATTCATCTACCCACAGCCTCTCCTTTTAGCTCAGTGGTGACCAAGTACCCCTCAGCATCTTCCACGTGCTTCCCGGGAGATCAGCCACGGCATTAACATTGTCCTGATGCACCGAACTGTGTCCATGACATCAGCCAGGGCACCCCACCTCTTACAGCAGGATGGACATAACTCAGCACAGACAGGATTTGAGAATTTAGGTACTAAATGGAGCTGCTCTTAAATAAATGCCTTTTTGTTGATTCAATGCAAGCACAAAGTTATGTTTTAGAGGCTTTTGCCATTGAAGATGCTGCTTTCTTGTTGAGAGCCTCTGCTGGTAAAGCAGGCTATCATTGGTCACTGCCAGGTACTGTCCAAAATGATTGCAAGGGCAATGGTTTCTGCAGAATCAAGTAAACACGAAAAAGGAAGTAAATAATAAATGGAAATCCACAGTTTAACTGGATTTTTCTGTTGTAAATGAAAAGCACTGATAGTGCTGCTCAAACGCGCCCGTACATTCCCCCCTCCCCTTAGTGGTCTGTTTGACACCAGAGGTACAGCAAGAAGGGCGAGCAGACCTGTCCCATTTTCTTCTCCATCAATCTGCTATAAATCTGACTGCAAAACACAGTGCCACTCTGAGATCTTTCTGCTGTAACACTTGAAAAGAAAACCAAAATTAAATTCACAACCTGCTTCATGGGGACAGTCTGAGTTATACATACTCTCTGCCATACTGGGCAACAGACAGACCTGGTGTATTCTCCAGTGACTGCCCCTCTGACACCAGCCACTCCAGCTGAGGGGGTCTAAAGGAAGTAACCAATGCTAATGTTGAGTTAACAGAGGGAACAAAGGTGAGCTGCTTCTACCATAGACTTGGATTTTCCTTTTGCTTTGTTCAGTCAGAACTGTTTTCTGGGAAAAAAAAAAAAAAAGTGGATGCGAAGCATCTTCCACAGCGTAAAAGAGGAATTTTCAACCCACTACATCATAATCATTATGGGGTAAAAGTCACTCAACCATATGACTCCATAAAAAACTATGACCTCCAAAGCTCATTATGTCTAAGAGATCTCTGCTGTATGTGCAAAGGGTTGTGCTTGGTCTCTCCACTTGTTTTGTTTCCTTCCCAAAGGTTTACCAGCATCAAGCTGAGCCAATAACAGAATAGCTTTGGGACAGTACGAGAAAGATGTACAACTTAATCCCAGCACCTGAACTATCACGCAAGCACTTTCTCGTGGATGACTATCTTGAACAGTAGGTGCTGCGCTCCCACTGTAATTATCATGTAAGCTGATAATTTTGACTTTACGCAGGGATTATACATAGTCACTGGTACGTTAATTAGAAGAGAAAACCAAAGCTGAAAGCTATCATTAAATTTGGAATTAGTTGAGAAAATTACAGGCAATAAATGATAAACTTGTATGTGTGTGGGATCCCTAGCATTCATTTAAGAATTAGATTGAACTGGGTTTCAGCTCTTCACTTATCCTCAGCTCCCTGTGTCTCAACTGGACCTGCTGTGGTCTCATGCAGAGCCATCAATTAGGATGGAAGGGCACAGTCGTGTTGCTAGTCCAGGAGAGGCTTTGAAATTGAGGGTCCTACAGAGGTAGTGAGGTAAACTGATCGTTGAAAAACTAATTCTTACTCAGAAAGGGACAGAGGTGAAGAGGAACAACATAGCTGAGAGCAGAGGGGGACAGAAATCTAGCTAGTAGATCTGTTGCCTTAAGACCAAAGAGAAAGGTCTGGTTGGAATATTAATTTATCACACCTGAGAAAACCTGCCCTGTAAAGTGAGCGAGCTACGCATCAGCCTGCAGTTCGTATCACCACTAATCTGGAACTGGGGAGATAAGGTCAAATGAAACAGTGATTCTTATCTGAAGGGCAAATCCTGTGCTACCAAAAGGATGCAAAATGCAAAGGCTGCATTTCCTCATCAAATTTTGCTTTGCAAACCAATGCAGCGGCTCAGCATGATAATCCCTTTTCCCAGGGCTCACAGGCTGCCCCTGTTAATGCAGTCCTCATGTCCTGTTTGAGATTAATAATAACAACAACTACAACAATTTAATAATAATTTAATAAGTACTTCAACGTTTAGGAACAACATTTTCTAAGTCCACGTGTGCTTTAACTCAGTCTCAGGAGGTTGCCTCACAAAGCACTCCTCTTCCTTTTACCTGGGGAAGATGCCCTAGCAAGCAACTTGCTGAGGCAAAATGGAAGCAAGCCCTCTCTTCCTCATAAAACTAACCATTTTTCCCTGCACAAAGAGTGAAAGACCTTCATACTTGGAACACAACTGGCAACAGATTTCCGTCTTTCAGAAACCGAGCAAACAGCAGAGCACTCCTCAGGAGCACAGGCACTGTGACCACTTCTCTCACTGCTATTTCAAAAAGCCTCCACGCCAAGTCATGCACATTGTATGACCCGTTACTACTTGTTTTGAAAAGAAAGTGCCTGTTTGAATCTTGCTTGGAAGAAGATATGAGCTTTTTATAATCCCACACCACATGTGTGTCTCACTCCCTTCTCTCTCACCTCTTATGCAGGTCACAGCTTTGAAAGAGGCACATGCACGCTGTGAAACACTACCTCCAGATTTCTTTTTTATTTCATGTCCCCTGACATGGGAAGGTATCTGGAAATCTCACGCAGTTTTACAAATATACATACACACACACACACAGAGAGCTTTATATTTATTTGAGTGACTGTAAATGTAAGATTTTACATAGTTCTCCTTTACTGAAGTTTCTACCTGACCCTCTAACCGAGCGTGCTGTAAACACACCAGAGTGCTATTCTCTGAACAGCAGGTGATTTAAAACTCCTTTTTCACAGAGCTACTCCTTAAAGCATTCACGCTCTCCTGTTTGCTCACGGCTGGGTCAGAAAGCTCTTCATCATCACCTAGACATAACCCTGTAGAGCACAACTGTGCGCCTGGGGCCCTCGGGCACCAGGAGAAAGGGGAAGCAGGCATCGGCCTTTGCTCTCCTCTCACCTGTACCTGCAGCTGAGGTACCGGCACGAAGCTCCGCCCGCCTGTGTCTCCCCTGGTTCTAGCCATGTACGTAGAGCCTTTTTTATTCATGCCTTAACTTGCACGAATTAATCAGCCTTGACACAGAAGTAGCTGTGGACTGTGAAGAGCGCAGACACTAAACAGGACCACTTCCCTCATTCAGGCTGTGAGGTGTTCAGTGTCTACGTGCAGTCCTATTAAAAGCACATCGATCTCTGCTTGAACAACTTGTGTACAAGGTTACGAGATGGGTATTTTTTCCCCTAATTGAAGCACTGCTTGAAGCTCTAGCATACAATTCCTACTGGCTTTGACCAGAGAGGGGCAAGTAAAACTCAGCACCTATTTGTGACAAATGCTCTTCCAGGTCATTCTGTTTCCTGCTAACCTCAATTTTGTTTCTTCCTCAAAATATTTTTAGAATAGCAGGAACTTTTCGATATGCCTTTATTCTAATTGTATATTTGATTTAAATGAAAACTCACAAAACACCCCCAGCTGTCTCTTCTGCCTTCAACTCGAGTTTTTCAGAAAATGATCTTTCTGAAAATGAAATGCTGCACCACAGTGATTCACCGCGTCTCCTGACAAATGATCCCACCCAGCACTCGCCAATCTGTCAGCTTCTCTTGTTTGTCTCTGAGCTACCAGTCCTCAGCCAGGCAAAATGTCTATCACAGAGCAGGGACTCTAAGTACTACATTAAATATTCTGCCATTTGAATCTGCTGTGTTCTCCCATACGCAAGCCAGGCTCTTCACCAAGCACAACCCTAGTGAAGGGGCGCAATGAAGCCTAACAAAAACTCTCAGCAGGCAAACCGTTACTCTAAGTGAGATGCTTATTTTTAGTCATGTGGAATACCAGAGATTTCCTCAGAAGGAAGAGCTTCTGAAAGGTTAGGCAGTGAGAACCTTTTCTCAACCTGCAAGTGAAGCAGAGAAAAATTCTTTTCCTCCTTGGGATGCAGATGAGAGATGCAAGCTTCACGCTAGCGCCACATCCATGTCAATTCCTATGACTTCTGGCTTCAGACACACTGGAGGCTTGCTCATGTTTATCAGCACCATCAGATTTCAGTGGTGTTTCTACTAGCACATGTTAAACGTGTCCTGTTGCTTAGCATGGTAATCCACTACAATCCACGACTGCAAAAGAACCACTTCTTAGAGTGGGGCGTGCATGTTACTAGCACTCTATCTAAGGGAAGATCCCGTTCCCACAAACACTTCCTCATTGACTTCCATTAGGCCTTAAGTTGACTCTTAAATGTCTCATTGTCCTATTAAAAAGACTTTACAAAAATATACACTACTCTAAGGTAGGCAAGTCATGTGCACAGAGTTTCAGGCAATGAAAGAAACTCAGCATTTGAACTAAAGAAGAGAAAGCTATGAGAGAGGCAGCAGGACTGGAGAGAAATTGCCACAGGCGTCAGGAAAAGCGGGTGGAAGCAGCTGAAGCGGTGAGAGAGAACAGGCAGGGATCTATCTGAGCCTCATCTAAACTACAGCTGTGACAAAACATCCCTTAAAATATCTTACTTAAGCTTGTGTATAAATTCAGGTCAAATTAAAAAGTGGTTCCTTCTTAATCTGTATTCCCTCAAGACAGCTATTTACGCTGTAGCAATTT